GCCGAAAAAAGAAAAGAAAAACAACTGAAAAAAAGAAACTTGAAGATTTTTTTTTCACTAGCTGTTTGGTTGCTCCAGTTTCCAATTTATCTTCTGGTTATCTTGGCCATTAGATTAGGTTACCAGCTTAGATTAGCATCTCAAAAAAAGTATCTTAGATCTTTTAGTAATCATCATACCTGTTGGATTAGCAACGCTTTATTTTTTTTCTTTTTCATTTGATGCGGTAAAGATTAGGTTGTGGCTCGAAAGTTAGAATTTCAAGAAATGCACTTTCTTTTGTTATTAGAACATGATTTCAATGGAAAAATACAATTGGTTCTCTATTTACCTATTTTTCCAGTAGAAACTAAGTGTCATATTGTGCCATTATCTTCTCTTCAGCCGCCTTTCCTATTTCAGTCTTGTAAAGAGTATCTTCTACATATGACCTCTATGTTGAGTTCCTTTTTGGCAGTAAACTCCTTTTCATCCTGAAATTTTCTGAGATTTCATTCTATCTTCTGTTGTATATTTGATTTCAGGATCGTCGAGCAGGAAAGGATCCAAGGCAAACAAGCCATGAAAGTCCACGAGACAAAGAAAGACTACCGGAACAGCCTGTGACCACCGAATCAGGTGCTACTAGCGGGAATGAGAGTGGCACAAGATGTTAGACATTCTCGCTGGTGAAAAGATCTCTCCGATGATACAGAAATGCCTCCCAGTCTTTCTTGTATCAAGACCAAGCAACATCTCAGAAACCTAATTGTCGATACACACTTGTTCTTTGTGTCGATAAGTGGCTCAGATGAATGTTGAGCCTCCGTTTGTATATGTTGTTTCATGTTAGTTCTCGTGTACAAAGCTATGTGCCATCGACCATACTATGCTGTATCATTTCTTCATTTGTACTTGATGAAGCTCTTCCGAGTGGATTTTTGTTTGATGAATTGCCTTGTATAGTCTGCACCAATCATGACGAATTGCTCTAAAATCTCCCTTCAATTCCTTGTTTATCTTGCTCTCTGATCAAACTTCATACTGTATCATTGCAAAATACTACACACATACAGGGAACCAAGAGCATCTCAAATTTGAGATCACGGACGTTGTCCAAAGACGATCGATTCAATCAGTACTTTGTTGGTATCATAGAATTCGAACTTGAATTTTCTTACTTAATCCTATCATCGAGATGGTTTGCTATTGAACCTGAATTATAACTTGATTTAATGAGATAAATCTCTTTTTTGCATAATTTGGTGCTTCAGATGGTAAAGGAGAATTAAAGTGGAGAAATGAAATCAATGTAGATGTTATAAAAGCACACAGGCAGAGCAATGACACAACTCCGGGGGTCATAATAAAACTAGTTCGTTCATCTTCAAGTTTGTGTGGAAAGAGCCATTAGTGTCTCTGGAAAATAAGGATCGGACTGAGCCACAAGAGAAGGACCAGTAAGGAATACATTTGGCTCCTCGGAGAGAGTAAGAGTTGTTGTGGTTTTTATTAGATTAGGATGCATCGAACGCTAAGAGTCGAAGACACAATCCAAGAGCACAAAAAGAGATACGATTGGGTCGAAGACATGATCGACTTGAGTCTAAGGAGTTCAGCTTGGATCAAACTCCTTTTTTTTATTTAACATTAAGCAACTAGTCACTTCTTCCACAACCAATATGATGACCAATATGATACGATCAATCTTGGTAATCAAACCGATATGGTGTAATTGATCTGACCTGATCCAAATTTTCTAGTGTTATCAAGCATGAAGGAGAGAAAGAAATGCCCTTAGCAGAAATTTTTGTGTAAGTCAACGAGGATACTTAATTCTATTTCGATTCATTCCATACAAAAATCTATATCGAGTGCGTCCGACAATTTGATAAATTCTGAACGAAAATATACTTCGAGTTAGAAGTCGATTCAATTTTACATGACCATAATCGATTCTAAAATAATAATAAAAACATTCTCCTTAAATATCATAACGATATGACGCATTCAATTAACACGTTATCATCTCTTAGCTCCATAAATCAAATTCTAACTGACCAAAAGCAATAACAATATGAAAAGCCTACGCCTAAAGAGTTCATAAAACAAAAAGTCTAAAAATGCAGGAACAGATTCCGGGACTTGTCTGCTGCCCATTCTTTTGATGCAGCAGACACGTTTTCTCAATCGAAGAACATTGCTGCTTTTGGTAGGAAGCTTTCATACATTTCCTACAGAAGTTGATCATCTTCACAGAGAATAACATTGCACGAAAAGAAAAAAAAAAAAATCAAGTGACGGTCCGTGCCTTCTCGTTCTTGATTGCAGCACTCTAATCACTAGAAGATAATAAAAAGCTAGAGAAAGATTTGCCATAACTCTAGCTATACTGTAGTTTGAGTTCCTGGGTATTTATTACAAAGACAACCATGCTGCAGGGGTTGACAGAAACATGTAATTCTACACTCGCCAATGATTTAAATGTGTATTTTTCTATGAGATTTTGAATACTCAAGCGAATCTGAATTTTGAAGCTCATACTTCAATGCTAAGAACATGAACACAATTATGTTTCATTTTACCAAACTAATATATGACTGTGGAGAAGTACCATGAGCAACTGACAACTTGCATTATAAATTTACGATAGCCCAAGAAATATATGTCAGAAAATACAGTAGGGAAATTTTCCTTAAAACAAATATACCAAACAGAATGGATGTGCAAAACCGGTAAGAAGCCACGTGTGTGTTAATTATGAACTTAAAAGGGGTTGCCAGTTATAGATGTTTATGTTTCTTAATCTGCCCTAGATTGACCAGCCCGGGAAGAGAGAATGATGCCAACAATAAGGCCATAAAGTGCAAGTGCTTCAGCAAAAATGAGAATAAGAATCATGCCCACAAAGAGCTTCGGCTGCTGCGCGTTGGCCCTGAAATCAACATAAACATAATCCATTAAAATTGTTGATTTTCTGTGTCATATTAGGTCTAACTTTTTGGCAATCTATGATCACATTCAATGGTATGCCTCAAATAAGTTATGTTGCATAAAACATGTTTGCACCCTGTGATCAACAAGGTTAATACACTTGTCTATGTGCAGATATCCGAGTGCCAGTGTAAGCATCCAGTACACATGTTATACAATAATTAAATGAAATAAATAAAACAAAACAAGAAAAAAAGGTAATACACACGTTGACTTTATGGGGCTGCCTACTTTGCTGACAGTCATGAAATGCATGATGAACGACAGTTGTAGTAAATAACTTTTAGCCAAAAGAGATGTGTATAATATAAAAGGAGAATAAGGTCAGTTAAGCTAGCTCTTGCTTCCTCGTTCACCACCAGAGTGGGGTAAGGGCATCAAAGAAATAGCTCAGTCTACTAAAGTTCATTGCAAATTCTTTAACATTAAAATGCCTACTTAAAGTGTTTATTGGACAAGAACTGAGGCTCTACAAATCTCAGCACCATGTCTATGTTCAAGTGCAACTGCGGTTAAACTACAAGATTACTTACTTGATAATAAGTTGGAAAAGGTACATAAAACACCAAGATAGGTGTAATTCTACTTAAGAAAATGAATGTGTTTCTCCCCAATCCAAAGGAAAAGAACGTCTTTTGCCCAATTTAAGAGAAAGAAAGCATTTTTGCTAATCAAAGATGAGGAAAAGATAGTAATTTATGAATATTTTAACCACGGATAAAAAAATACAAACATTATGATTGCTACCATAAAGAAACACCTTATATATATTAACTAATGGAAAAGTAACTCGAACATAAAGAGAGCAATCTAAACCTGTTTATGCAATCAATCAAAGCTAGAGAAAGATTGTTTCATTAAGACCAGTATTTTGCAGGTATCTGGATTCACAGTATGAACAAACATTTCTCAATCAGATAAACCTAATGACCAAGTGATAAACAAAGAACCATGAAAGGAACAGAATATTTATTCTCCGCTTCCATTTTGACTTGTTCCAACGTCATATGATGAGGCTGAACAATGAAACTAAAAGCATATGCAAGATATAGCAATTTAACAATTCAGATCGCACTGCACCTGAGGAATTAAATAAGCCCAAAAGTATCAAAGATTTCTAACAATTCTATCTCCATTGGCAAGTTCATTTTTTATGTGATTATTGTAACATCATGGGCTTTTACAGTTTTAAGGTTTTTTTTAATCAGTTTCTTTCGTAGAATGGAGTAAAGTGCCTTTTGTCGTTGTCAGCAGAGCAACGGAATTTGTTCAGGAGTATCATGCTTGGACTGAGTTTTTTTCCTTTTCTTCTTAATTTTGAGAATTCCTGCTTTAAAAACTATGATAGTAGAAACACTGGTGCTCTCTTTAACTCTAAATGTCTGAATCTTTTTTTCTCGGATTTTACTCAAGTATGGTTTGTTATTGTACCAGATGTTACTTCTGTTGCACATATATGTTTGATGCACCGGTCTAATGTTTGTTCAGTATATAACTCTGAATAGAGTCTGTACACAATCAGAAAGCGCAATCTTGGTTTCAAGGATTTGTGAAGCATAACACATCCATACATATAAAGGTATCAAGTCTCAATAGTATCCTAGTATTCATTCTATCTAGTTCCATACTTTTGCTGTTCACTTTAATTCAATGTCGACGATTCTTTCTTTAGTATCTTTTCTTTACTCAAACCTGTTAGTTTTGTGCACCTTGGACTCCCCTCTTACAGTTTATTCTGATGTGACAACAATCACAACTTTTTCTTTCAACCAAAAAAAATTCCCTGCAAGCCCGCCAAAGGAGCTGAAGGTCCACCTAAGACCGAACATACATGATACAACCATCCAATTCATCCAATAAACACAATCACTAACTTTTTGTCTATATCAGAGGACTTGAGACAAGATGGATCTATAAAACGCATGCCTAAGCACAATAGACATGATTGAAGCTTTGTATAATGTGAAAAAAAATTAAAACATCATTCTTATCTTTGCTAACTTTAAACAAGCTTCCTCTCTCTCTCTCTCTCT